CAGAGACACATAGGAACCTCATACCACCAAGAAAGCAGTGCCGGGAGCAGAGCGTGTCCTTTGGACCTGAGGTTCCTGCGCAGAGAAGCTCCCAGACCAAGGGAAGACTGATGCATCACAAGGACCTCTCTCCAGAGCCGACAGAGAGAGAAAGCCTTCTATGGGATCTGATGCCCTGAATTTGGACTTGTAACCTACTGGACTTTGAGAGAGTAAACTTCTCTTGTTAAAGCCATCCACTCATAGTATTCCTGTTAGAGCAGCACGAGATGACTAAAACAGCAATCATGCTGACTTCGCAGCTAGAATGCCTGAACTCAAATCCCAGCTCCATAATTCACTAGCTGTGGGCAAGTCAGTTAATCTTTCGTGTCTCAGTTGATCTGTAAAATGAGAAAATAATAGCACCTATAAACAGAAGGTTGTTAGGAGAATTAAATGAATTAATACTTGTAAAGTGTTTAGCACAGTGAAGAGTAAGCACCATGTAGCACTTAACCTCATAATGCTACAGTGAGGATTAAATGAGACAGTGCATGTGATGTGCTTAGCACGGTACCTGCCAGATGAGAAAGCCTTCAGTAAAACTTAGGGTAGGGAAACTATGGCTGACTGGCTGATTTTTAAATGTGTCACACACAAAAAAATTATCTTTTGGAAATGGCAATGATACAACAAGGCAATGACTTTCCTTAGCAAGGAAAAATTTAATTGTTGTAAAAATAAACATCATGCATCATTTGCCAAGTCAATGTTCGTCATATATACAATTTAATGACACCTGTTACATTAATCATGTGCAACCATCACCAATATTTTTTTAGGAAAAAATTTAAAGCAAGCCAATATCGTTGGTGAGGTCAATTTCAATACCTTTTCCTTCCATTCTCTCAAAAGCTCTCCCAAAAAGAACTTATTGCACAATAATGACCTTTATTTTTTAATGTCCCCCTCCCAACAATTCCAAATAAAAACTCCCTTTCTAGAAGGAAGAAACCCACTCTAAAGCTATTTAGACTAGAATGTGAATGGCTGCCTGGCTTATTCCTCCCTTTATGCATTTAGGAAAAAAAAAAATCTAGCTTTAGCCTATTACGTTTATAAGAAGAATTTTTTCCAACAGCAGCTTCAAGAGATCAGAATGGATTGTTACAGAAGCCAATGTACCAGACTTTACAAGGTGAATAAGCTGTGGTCTCAAGGCACAAGGTGTTCGGGGGGTTCAGAATAAATTTTTTCCAGCCTCTACATTAAACTTAGTAAATTACTTTTCCAGCTCATTAAATAGGACTCAAAAAGCTACAAATGATTCTCCAGAAGTGATTCTCTTACTTACCTAGTCAGATCTGATCCATTAACTTTGACTGGAACCAGTCATTTAAATGTGAACACGACTAAGCATCATTCTTCAAAAACAGTATTAAGTTTGCAAAATAAACCTCAACAATAAATACTAATAGTGAAATGCAGAACTCTCTACACAAATCACAAACTCACACACATATCAAGTGGTATATGTAGGTATGAGCAATTCCAAAGCCTTATAATATTTTTTAATTTATTAGAGTCCAGTGTAGTTTGGATATGTTAACTGTGTTGTGAGAACACTTGGGGTGGGCATTTGTCACCATTCCTGTGTGCAGAGCTGCCATTTTCTTATTGTGTGACTGCTTGAGGGTAGAAGTACCCATAAGGACAACTGATTTTCCAAAGAGAAAAATTCCACGTTGAAGAACAGAGTTCTTGGGCCACATTTCATAGCCTTTTCAATCATTTCAAAGAACAATCTTCTTCAGACTCAAGTATTTGTGTTACTGTTCTAGTGGTAACTTCCATTACAAATCCCAGTGTCCTGGAATCCAAAGATATCCCAGTGTTAATACAACAGATTTGGGGTGTGTCTACCTTTTAGTAAAATGTGATGTCTGAAACAGATGTGATGAGTTCCATCTCAATCCCAGATTCCTGCCACTGAATGCTTTAACTGTCAGTTTCTTAAGAACTAATCATGTTTCTAATGAAGAAGGCAAAGAAAAGGAAAGAGAGGAATAAGCATTCAATTCTAAAATTATTCTGAAGCATCACTTTGGTGGACCAAACCCTGTTAAAAGGAAGGCAAAAATTTATTTCTACCCAGCTTTCCTGGAAAGATGTTCCACCAAATCCATATGGTGGCAAAGGATTTGCACCCAAGACATGTGTTTAAACACAAAATACAGTAACTAACCCCCAAATTCATTTTCACAGAAGGTGTGAGAAAAGACTAATAATACAGTAAGAAGAATTTAAAACCAACAGTCGTAAGAAGTTACTAGTAAGAACTGTGGAAAGTGGATTCGTTGAATCCTGTATTTGAGACAGGTCTCATAAATCATCTAGTTTAGTTACTTTCAAACTTTTAAAATTCAGTGAACCCTCTGTCCCAATTACACTGCAAGTGGAAGAACAATATGAATACGATTAAAGCACAGTTTTTTTGAGGTTGCATCCTTGTTGGGAAGCCACATCTCAGTCACTTTATCTCCTTATCCTACTGCCACCTATTCTTCCTAGTAGGGTTCCTAGTGCTCCATGGAATACAGTTGGAAAACTCCTGATCTATACTCCTCTAAAGTACCTGCAGTCTGCAGATTACTTTCAAAGAGACTGTTGGGCTAAAACTTTTCAGTGTCCTTCCAGTAGATATTTCCAAAGAGAAGAATATGACTGATGCTTCTTAGGCAGAGTTGGAAGGATTAGAATGATTCAGTACATGGAGAGCACTTAGAAAAGTGTTTTGCACATAGCAAATAAGCCTTAAAAAATTAATATTTAATAACTAAATTAATAGACTATTCTCCCTATCACATGAAGTTAGTATAAGTGAACATCAAATTAAAGAGCTGAGTGAACTTGGACAAATGTTATTGTTATCTGTCTTTGCGGGGTCTAAATTTCCTCACCTTCCAAATGGGACTAAATTATTGCTAACAGGAGCATTCACTGAGACAATGTATACAAAAACACCTCCAACATGGTGGCTGTTAGCTGCTATTGAGTCAGCAGTCTCACTGGTTCCTGACACCTGGTGACCCCACACA